ATATATATATATATGTATTTACCCAGTTGTCAACGAAAAGTAAAATTGCTTCCTAATCTGTCTTTCCAATTATAAACGTGGAATCTACGTGTGATTGATCAATGATGATAAGATACCGCCCGATTGAGAAATCTTGTCTTCATTTACCAAATTCGAAAAGAAAAAGGGATAAAATGAAATCTGATCGAATGAGCTCATGCACATAGAAAATAACCCTTGTCAGTCCTCTATATATAGATGCAAGTTAGAGCGATGTCCAATCTCCAAATGTTTCATCTTCATCAAACCCTCCTTACTCGTTTCCCCACAATTCTTCAACTTCCATTACTTCATCTTCTCTTTCTCTCTAAACATTACTCTCTGTTGTATATAGAAATTTTGCTGCAAGCACATAAGCTTGATTGATACGAAAGAATTGAAGGCAGAAAAACATGGAGAATCCTCTGCAGCTGAAGTGCCTGAATCACGTTTCACTTGTGTGCAGATCAATCGAGAAATCTCTTGATTTCTATCAGAATGTCCTTGGCTTCTTTCCCATCAAGAGACCTGGTTCCTTTGATTTCTCTGGTGCATGGTAATGAACTTTCAATTCAGATCAGGAGCATAAGAAAGACAAAAAGAACAAAATGAAACCCTTTCCTTTTTGTCAAGTTTTTTCTTAAACTTGTATTTTTATTCAATATTGATTCATAGTTTTTTGACAAGGATAGGCTGTTCAATTATGGCATTGGCATCCATCTTCTCCAATCTGAAAACCCCGATAACATGCCTAAGATTGGCCGTATTAATCCCAAGGACAATCATATTTCTTTCCAGGTATGTCAATTGTCATGTCATATATGCTAATACTTACATATTACTGTATTAGTAGGAATATTTCAGAGTTAATAAGGAAATTCACTGCATAGACACAACTTGTTTTGCAAACCAAGTAGCACGAAGCTCGCGTTACGCGTCGGGTCCCAATATCCTTTTTCCCTTGCAACAGGACTAATCGAAGGCTAAGACTCCATCAATTCCTAACCAAGCAACATCCTGAAGAAACCTTCCACCCACGCCCCAAATCTACTGCTCGGCCTGAAAAGAACGAAAAGCCCCAAATCTCCAACAAAACACATTAACAGGCCCACATAAGAGAAAAACACTATCGTGGTCCAATAATCCCAAGCTACTGGCTATTTAATTTCCTTAACTCCCAGAGCAGTGAGTTGACCCTGTTTTAAGAGCTCATTAGCATGTTTTCAGAACAGAAAACATATTTTTTAAACTTGGTTTTCTGTACGAGCTTTATCATTGACGGATGTCGATTGGGATATTTGGTATGATTTGTAAATTTATATTTATTGAAGTAATTGTTGTTGGCAGTGTGAGTGCATGGCAACAGTGGAGAAGAAATTGAAGGAGATGAAGATAGAGTACGTGAAAGGCGGCGTAGAGGACGGTGGAATTCGCGTTGATCAACTCTTCTTCCATGACCCTGATGGCACCATGATTGAAGTATGCAACTGTGACAACCTCCCTGTGGTTCCATTGCCTCAAGACGCTATGCAGTTCTGCTCACTGATCAACTGCAACATTCAGAGGCAGCAACAGCAACAACAGCAGAACATTGAACATGTAGTGAAGATCTAGTGACTTTCTTCGGAATCTTGGAGATTAGAATCTATATTATGTATAGGTAGCGAAACAGATAATTAAGACTGATGATTAATTAACCAACTTGTGAACATTTTTCCTTATATATTTCCAAGTCTTGTTGAACCTGTTGGCCGTTCTGCTAATTTCCAAGATATTTCTGGTCAATAACAGAAAAAAAAAAGAAGAAAATTATGTTAATTCCTGTACTCTGTATATTTTTTGATGAAACAACTAAAACTTCATTAAATCAAGTAACAGTGGAGATACTAGGAGAAACAGGGAGATCCTAGCCAAACAGTTGATTGCCAACTTATTTGCACCAAAACACACTCTATTTCTTTTTCTTTTCCCATCAATTGATCATGATCATTAGTGAGAATATATCAGCTAGACACAGGCTGGAGAATGTTTTTATTCATGCCTACATATTATAAGAGAGTTAGCTTGTGAATTCAATGAACATAATTTCATCCTGTTATGTGGCTTTAATCAACGAAATTAACCTTAGCAGCTCAAACACACCAAGACTTGTACAGCATAAAAAACAGATTAGTAACCAGTAAGTTAGAGTCAAGCAACTCATCAATTGTAGTCAGCACAATTACATTACCAGACAAAGATTATAGAAGAAAGCAACTATTACTTTATAAGGTGCAGAAAAACACTGAAGAAAGCAAGAAAGAAATGCTTTTTAGTATGTACACACCTCAAAAGTCCCTTACTACATTCTAGGAGAGCAAAAACTCGTTTCTTTCTGTAATGTTGCTTGTTATAATATAATTTCATCCACCTCAAGATCACTCCTGCACTGTCAGAAAGATGAAGGAAAGCCACACCATCAGAAAACATCATATGAAGAGTTCATCAGATAACACCAAATGGGAAAAGTTCATGAGGAAAGAAGTCGGTTTTCTTGCCAATGACCAGTAAACACGACCGTCTCAATAAATGGCTTATGATGTCGTGCTTTTAGCCCACAGATTCCTGCAAACAAGGGGGCCATTAAAAGCTTTGAAAGTTCAAGCCCCACCATGAAACAAACTAGATAGATTATTATTATTATTCTCAAGATAAGCAACCAGACTCCAAAAACTTCCATCAATTTCCCTCAAACAGATGTGCCATCCCCATTCCCCCACATATTCATGTCACATTTATTAATCTGGAAACAGATAAACAGGAATGCTTATTTTTGAGGTCCATGGCTTCGCTTTTGGCCAAAATTTTTGGTTTACGAGGACCATATTGGAGGGTCATTGTTATACATATCATAGCCTCAAAAATTAAACATTATCCCTTTTTCCTTTATTAATTGGAGATGATTGAAATTTCCTTGGTTTGATTCACGACATGGATTCGGAGATCATCAAAGGATCCAAAATGATATTCAGAGACAAGTCAAATTGTGATGAGGAAGATAAATGATAGTACTAGTATCATTTTTCTAGGCTGACAAGTATATAAAAATCCAATCATATATTGTATTTTAATTTGAAGGTGACCTTAATCCTTTTCACTTCCAAATTGCCCACACTCTACCTTCTATTGCATGTTGTCATTTGAATATGACATGACATTATTTTGAAAACATTATTAAAATTTAAAAAGAAAACTAAAGTCATCATGCAGTAATGAATTTGATATTTGAAGGAAGATTACTATAAGAAATGCAGATCTTGAGCAGTTGAACTACATGTTGAACTGAGCAGTTTGGAAAAATGCAAACTCCTTTTTCACTTCCAAGTCAAGAAGGAAGAAATGCACATGCTCTGCCCTTGTTTCTAAGTCAGTTTACTGAAATCGAGAGAACGTGGCACTGTTAATCGTGCTAGGTCCAAACTAAAAAACTTTTGTAGCCCTTTTCTTCCTTGTGGTTATCTTTACATTTTTTATGTAGCCGACCACTGACAAGCTAATCAATAGAATGCCTTGATTGAATCTATGTGGTCCAATCACAAATACTCGTCTTTGTGAGTCATTGGCATAAATAAATTACCAGTAGGGTAGATTAAATTAACCTATCTTGAGCTAAAACTAAAACCAAATTTAATATTTACTTTGATTTTTTTTTTTGTAGTAAATATGATATTGAGCTACACAACAGGAGGTAGTCCTCCTTTATTATATCTCAACCCATCTATTTGAAACTTCAGATTCATACTTCCAAAATAGAATTTTAAGCTCTAAGGACTGGTGGCCATGCCAATGTTAATTATGTGGCCACCGGTAGTTTCTTACTTTGAAATCAAAATTATTAATAAGAGCCATCATTACTTAACAAAGATTGCAAACTCATCCAGAAGTATTTGATCATTGCTTTCTGTCGTTTGTTACCAGAAATACACCCATCATTGTCTGTATAGATACCATATTTACTTATAATTGAACCGAATTTGTAGCATAAATTTTGGTCTTGTACAGTTTTTTTTATTAGATTCTTATCACTCTATCTTATATCTATACTCTCATGTGCTACATAAAAGAAAAAATGAAAGTTAAGCATACAACAAAGACTGACAGTTTCGTTAGGTACCTTATGGAGAGAGGCGGTGGAGTGTGGAGGGAGGGGTCCATGTGGTGCTGGCTCTGCAGAAACAAACTCGTTGGAGACAAATATGCCCCAAAACTCTAATCAAGTCTAACCGCATTACACTGATTATCAAGGAAAAACAAAACCCATCAAATCTCGTCAAAGCATCACCACATTTTTATTATCCTCAATCACAGGCAATAACACATGGTTTGCTGCTATAAAGTATTCCATCCACTTTCTAATCAGTAGTATTATTTATAAGGGTATTCCTTGCTAATGATTCCCAAACACCTACCCTACTCACATTATATAGACCTGCACCTTCACTTATAACAGAATAGAACATTACAACCTTTCTGAGAGAGAAAGAGAGTCTAAAGAAATTAATGGCTACCAAAGAGAATAAGCTGAAGAAAGGTTTCTTGAGCACTTTCTACTGGTCCAATACTAAAAGTCACAAGCCAAAATCCGAACCAGCTGCAGTAGTAAATATCAAGCCTGTTTCACAGAGTTCGTTGTTAAAGAAATTGGAAAATTGTCAAACTATAGAGCAGGCTGGCCCGAGAAAAATAGAAAAAGAAGGAATTGGGGGTGGAGGAGGAGGAGGAGGAGAAGCAAAGCTTGTTGAAGGAAGGAAGTCTGTGTCTCACGTCGAAACAAACTTGTCATCAGTGATTGCATTTCTTCAGGTGAAGGTTTTGGTTTCTGACATGCCTGGATTCATGCAAGTGCATGCCTTCCGCTGTGCCAGGAGAACTTATGATAGCTTGGAGAAGTTTAGCTCAAAACACATGGCTTATAACATGAAGAAGGTATGTTTCAAAAGCCAGCCAGTTCTTTCACTAAGTACCCTTCATTCTATGATAACTATCTCATTGAAGAATTTTTCATATTGTACATTACCTCATCACTGCCATATTAATATTACCGGGGGAAAAAAGGAATGTTGAGCAAATTTGTAGAGGAAAGATAGGTTTATTGTATTCACAGTTTATAGTGGTAATGGCAAAACTACTATAGCTAGGTAGATTGAAAGTGCTTTGTGAACAATTGTCTTGGCGTTTCTTTTTGGATTTGCCTAGTTTGAATGATTGAGTTTTATTCATGGAACCCCCACAAGGGAGGAGACAATACCTACACGACAGAAAAATTAAGGCTTTCTTTCTGATCTGTTTCTTTCAGCAGAATCTGAGGGGTTTTCAGGGGCACATGGAGCCATTGACCAGTAGTTTATGCTATTCCTAACAATCTTGGAAATGAAAGTCTCATTCTCATAGAACTAATTAGTCAAATTATGGGAAAAATTTTCTCTCTTTAGTACCCTGAAGGAAAAAAAAAAAAAGGAAACAAAGATTTTAACACGTCTCTGATCTGTCACCCGCAAAACTGACTTATGTAACTCTATTTCAAATAGAATTTTGGGCTTTTTTAAATTAACTACTTTTGAAGTAGATCCAGTAAGTTTCAATAGCAGAATCAAAGAGTCTTAATTCTCCAACCTCCATGCATGTGAATTAGTAGTGAGATCAGATCAGGATCCAACAGGCCATGTGTAAACAGCCAGAAAACCTCAAACCAGTACAAACGGTATCATGTTCTAATAATCAGATATTATTCTTTTCCTTTTTCCTTGAGACATGTGTAGAACAGTGATATGGTACATGTCAAAGTCCAATCTGTCTTGGGTCAATCATTGTATTACCTTCTTTCTGTCCAATATATTTGTCTTATGGTTGACAAATTTTTGCATGCAGGAGTTTGATAAAGTATATGGACCGGCCTGGCATTGCATTGTGGGCTCAAATTTCGGCTCATTTGTGACACACTCCACAGGTTGCTTTCTTTATTTTTCAATGGAGAAACTATACATTTTAGTATTTAAAACCAAAGTTCAGAGGGTTGCAAATTGAGTTAAATAGAAATTCAAGGTTATTTAATCAAATATATAATACCTCCTTTTCTCAAGTTCTCAATTATTTTCCCATGATGGTAATTTGTTCTTCTTAATGTTTTCATTTTTGTGTGCATGAAGTTTGTAAATGACAAAACAGTGTGACAAAAGTGTTAGATTTATATGAGCTCTTGCATGCATTATTTATTGAGTTTAAATCAGAAATAGTATTGTATTGTCTTAAAGTCAATTAACTTTGTCAGATCAGATTACCTGTAGGAAGAATATAATTAGTTATGTCACATTAGTGATGACTCATTATCTGATTGATTCAACACTACTTCCAGGCTATTCCAAGAATAGGAAAAACTTATATAATATTTAGATGGGGAAGATTTCAGATTTGGGATGTTGAATCATCAAGTAATGACTAATCTTGATAATGAATTTTAACCAAAGGTGGTAATAATATAGTATCATTTCCCCCCTTCCCTTCCCCACTTCTTTCAATTCTTCCTGGACTTTATATATACATATTCAGAAACAGGTAAAAGTAAAAACGAAGGAGCCTATCTAGATCAGTCAAGGCAAGAGCAAGCATGATTGCAGCCAGACTTGACCCTATTTTTGGCCCCTCTGTGGCTGCTGTTAGATTGAGTGATGGCTATGTTTTAATGGCCGGATTGATTTGTCCTTACACAGCGGGAAAAGCAGTGAGGGTCTAATTTGGTTTTTCCTTTTGGTCTTTCCATCCTCTAATTATTTTTGTAAGTGTTATACACTAAAATACGGAACTTATCTTCCTTTGAAACCTTGCATTTAGAAAAATCTTCACATTTCAAGTATTAACCTTATTGATGTGATGGAAAAAGTCTATGTTTTATGAAAATATGTATTGCTATGTCAATGTGTATAAATAACTCCAACAAGGGGCCAAAGCGTAACGCTTAAGTGAGTTGTCTTAAAAGATTATTATTCCTCATACATGGGTTATTGGGTTACTTTTGATGAACTTCAACATGTTAGTTGTAAGGCACACCTGCAAATTAATGAATTTTCCAATCAAAAATTTCATTTTGTCTATTTCAAGATTTCCACCTAATTGTAATTAAACTTATATTATATTTTTAACCTTCAAAATTGTTTTCTTTTTGAGATTTGATGGTTAAATATTATAGTCTCATCAACAATATCTTCACATAAACCCTACTTAAAATTTAAAAATAATAATAATCAAAAGTTGGTCGTGTACCTTTATAGTCTTAATATTAAATAATTCTTTAAAAAAATCCGTGAGAAAGCCGCATACAATAATATATATATCCAAGTAACTAAGCCATTAATGTAAAGTCAATAAAACCAAGTTTTAAATTGAATAAAAATTACCCATCAATCTTTTCTTGTATGCAATAGGCCGCTGCTTCTAATCATTGGGCTTTTAGATTTTGTAAGCTTAAAGAGCGTAGCACATACTCATTCAAGCAAAGACTTAGTTAAGTTTTCATCAACTTAATAAAACTTCCATCGTTAGATCTTTGTAGACGCTAGGGTTAGGCTAGAACGTGTAAAAAGTGGGGGAAATAAAACCCCCCCCCCCAAAAAAAAAAGAGAAAGTAATAATGAGAGGGAGCGTTACTTTGATTCAACATGTTTCATTATCGTATTGCTAAGCTTAGGTGGGGGGTGACTAGAGGTAGGCCACGGACGCCCCGTGCCCTACGCCCACACTGGTGGCCTAAATCAACTTGCACATTTTCCACGTAATCATTGCTTCCATATTGCAACAAAGCCCATCTAAAAGATATCGTGGAAACAGCCAAGGTGAGTGCCATACGACAATAAAATTGGATAAAAACATCTAGAAAATGACCTTAATTGCTGACTATAGATTTCTAATTGCTTCGAGTTAATGTCCAAGTGGCCAGAAAATGAATATTGTTAATTAATGATTTTTGTTTATATCTAATTTATTTTAGAACTTTATTAGGGCATAGGTAGGATCGGTGACGTACGGGCAGCCAATTAAGTGATGTTTGTAGCATTGGCGATGAAAACAAACAAATTAAAAGTCGGCTACCTTACCAACTAATATACTTACCGCCTGCCAATGAAACTAAGCTACAGGCGTAACCATGAATCATTAACATTAAAAAGGGCGGCATTAAGGTTTTTCAATTGTAAATGCCTAGGCATCAAGACTGAATTGAATTAGTGTTCCAATTAGAATTATTGTCTGACCAAATCCATTCTCTTCAAGGGTCTATCAGAATAACTTTCAAGGAGAGATTGAGCAATTAAAGCTAATAAATTTCGCTTTTGGTTCATTGAAATTATATCTGATGCATAAACTTGGAGACCAAAACTATACAAAGGAATTAGAAGAAAATCAACACAAAGCTCTGAAAAGAAAACCATCTCTATGACAGAATCCCATGAAACAGAAGCTGTTGAAAACACCCTCTCTTTTTTTTTGGAAAGAGATGAAGTGTTCAGCTGGAATTCTATGTGTGGAAATTTAACCCTACCCCCCCAGGAAAAAAAAGGAAAGAAAAAGGAAAATTCACACATAATGGAATTGGAATGCCATATATAGCATACTCAAAACATGTACAAAGCTATATTTCATCGTGACTTACGTTTGTTTGATCGTCTGTTCTTGGCTGCGATCGGTCTGCCGAAAACCCCACAGAAGCCACAACCGGAGACCTTAGGAGAAGGAGGGTCTATGCTCGGAGACGCCGCCTTCGCCGCCCGGTACATGTGTCCACCTCCCCCGTCCGATCGGGTACGTCTCATCATGCCGTCTGATTGATTGTTATTATTATTAATCTTCATTTGGTTCAGGTCTCCTGATAAGAACTTGTCATCCCATACTAACCCCGACGACCCTTGCCTCCTAAACGACGTAGTAGACCTTTGCAAACCCGTCATCTCCATCTCTTCTTTCCTCTTCCTCCTCTGCCTCCTCCTCCTCCTCCTTGTTTCTATGGACTTTTGGGAGTGTTGTCTACAGCTTTCTACCGGGCAGAAGGTTGAGGACGTTGAGTCCAAAGATATGTGGTGTAGTACAACGTTTTCAATGTGTTGTAAGTATATAAAAGAGTGGGAAGAGGGGGAAATGACAAGTAAGGAATATGAGGAAAGTTCATAAAATGGTATCTACATGGATAAGAATGGGATTTGGAAAACTTTAATTATTAATTAGCTCCCTTAATTTTGGCTAGCTTTTTAAGCACCGAATCAGAGATTTGGACCAGAAAACTGTTTTGGTCCATGGTCTACAAATTGAAATGCGGATAGCCGGCGGCTATATAACTAGTAATAAAATTCTGATCATCAAACAAGGCTTTCTAAAATTCGTTGACCCAAAGCTTTCTAAAATTCGTTGTCCCATTACCCAAAATGTCGTAATTGTAATGTTTTACTTATAATAATCCTGATTTCGGTTTGAGTTTGGTGTAATAAATTATTGAATGGCATAAGCAAATGCTGAATTAAGAGAGAAAACGTTTAAATATTCAAAGAAAATTCAAGGCTTGGTACTGATTCCTATATTAGTACTCAATTCCTTGCATTTGATTAATCTTGCAAATTTGTTTGATCCTTCGTCTGATCTTGATGTTTTATGTTATGGGTTTTTGACTTTTATTTTGTCAATGAGCTTAATTTGGTAGAGTCATCATTGAAATAAAACCAATTCAGAGTACAAGGGCGATGGAATTTCAACAGAATTACTTTCCCTACTTGGACTACAAAATTCCAGACGAACATGACCAAAACAAGAATAAATTAATTAAGCTGTATTATCATAAAAAAATTAAACTTGTGTTTTTGATCAACACTACAGGCTGTAGCAAGGAAAAAAACAAACACATTCTATATGTCGAAGACGCCCATAGTTGGTAAGGAACATGCGGAGAAAACAACTGAAAATCAATACACATAAAAGATGAAACAAACAGACGTTGAAAGAGTCTGTTCAACTATTTGAACTAGTTAATCAGTGCCTTTATATGCAGAAAAGGCAATAGAAATGCACGAAAATAGACTTACAAAAAACCCTGTACAAGAAACCAGAGCTAGATCCATAGTAATTACTAATGATGATGTTAGCAAAGTTTCTGGAAAGTATACAAGGATTGGCCAGCGAATAGCCTGTTTCCAGATTGAGCTTCTTTCTCCGCAAGTGGGATATCAGGTGGCTACAAACGAGATACTGAAAGACTCCCAACGTAGGTTGACTCCTTAGAGCCCTCCTCATCTTAAGCCAGTAGAAAGAGTAAAAGTTTAGACCAGCAGATTTAAGACTTGAGAGAATCTGCCAAGAGGTCTAACTAAAGCAAAATTTGTTATCCTCATCTTCTGCAAAGGTATCATTTGTATTTTGTAAATTCAAGAAAAAAACAAAAAAAGAAAAGGCTAAGGACCGTAATTTCTATCAACTCCAAAAGTTTTTCCTTTTTTGCTAGCCGCTGCTAAAATTTCAATCTGTTAGAGGATCTGGCCCCCCTTTGTCCTTGAGGATTTCACTCAATGGTTTTGGACCCAGGAAATATGCTGATGCAGTTCTGCCAGAATGCCTCATTTTCCCTATGTTTTCTTCAGTTTTTTTCTTCTCTTCTTTAATCTGGGCAAGGGTCTTGGGACCTGTAAAAGCAGTAGATGCATGTGTAGATTTCCTCTCTCTAGAAATCAGATTTCTAGAAACTTCAGATGAAACAGACTTCCGTCTAGGCAGCCATTTTTCCCTATAAGACCCCCTGGTGGAGTGTTTAGGCTCCAAGCGCTTGAGCCAGCCACGCCGGTTGGTACCATTAGAAAAATAACCTTGGTCTCTTATTGATTCAAAAGAGTGCTTCCCCACTTTTGATCCTAATCTTCCCCTTAGTTTCTGACGCATTATATACCTTTGAGGCCTTTCTGATCTTCGACCAAGCAGATGAGAATACTCCGACATTCTTGACAAGAAATTAGGGGGATTGCCCTCAACTACCCTGCGTTTACTCAAATAGTCTCTAAGATCTACACCCATCTGTTCATCATCTGACAGTTCAGGCCAGAGTCTTCTTCTCTTGTGGATAAATATGGAATCCAACCTTCTATCTATGGGGTGGGCAGGAGGGTTCCTCGCATTATCAGAAATAAACTCATTGTCTGAACCTTCATAAGCATCATACACATCTCGGTCATGCCAAAGTTCTACTTTGGGGTTCCTAGCCTCATGCTGAACAGAATCTTCATAATCATAACTCAAGAATTGCTCCATCTGCTCCTCCTCAGGGACCAGTAGATACTCTGAATCATTCTCATAATCCAAATCCTCTGATTTGTTATCCACAAGAACATCAAAACCAGGGGACGACTCCCACCGCTCCTCTGGCTCAACACGGTCATCTACTTGCTCTTCTGAACTATTATCTGTGCATATAGGAGATCTGCTTTCAGTAATGCCATCCTTTAGAAGCAAGGAGCCTGACTCAACAAAAACAGATTCTTCAAATTCAATTACAGACATTTTTGGAGAGACACTCTTTTGAGGCATGGTTTTCGGGTTTGATTGTTGGAGGTCCTCTTTAAACTGCGCACCCATCTCCTTGCTAGGCTTTGGGGCCATTTTAGATGGATTGGGATGTCTTTCTGTTGGAGCTGCTCCAGCGTCATTTTCAAAGGATTTCTTCTGGTCCATAGGAAGAGCATCAGTCTTCAAAGCATTTTCAGTAGTGGCATTGTCATCAGGACCATGCAAAAAAGAGCATCTGTTGCCTTTATTGCAGAAACCATTGAAGAAAAAGTAACAAGGAACATTGGTCTTGTTCGCTGGTGCAGAACATTGGTATGGCAATGCAGCAGATTCAGATGACACTTGAGTGTACCCATCCAAGGGCTGTGAAAACAGAAGAATTGAGTTCATATGACATCATCAGACAGCAAGTAACAATAAAAATAAGTCAAGAATATCAATTAATAACTCATTCAAAAATGAGTTATATAAAAAAATTAAATCTGGGAGAAAGTGGCTCCAACTCCATTACAGTCAAAAGGATAATGTATCAGCTGAAAAATACTAAGATTCCAATTCGTAAATGCTTTTGTTATTCGCTTTTCACTTATTTTTTGGCAATAAATGAATAGAATGCAATACATACATACATACATACATACATACATACATAAGTTAAAAAGAAATCACAAAAAACAAAAAGCAAAAGCATCAACCAAATGAAGCCTAAGATAGAGCTTAGATGTTGTACACCAGTACCACCTGTAAAACGGTTTATGGCCTAACATTTTAACAGATAATTGCTTCTAATGCTCCATGGTTGATGTTAACATGATGAGAATCTAAAGCATTTAGAAAATAGATTAAATTCATGGCATGTCAGTAATAAAGGACATAACAAAGTTATTTCAGGATTTTCTTCGTCTTATAATTATCTAAAAATTTAGGGTAACTTAGAGAAGACTGTAATAAATGAATATGTCAAAAGCATGTGAAATATCCAGGCAACATATCAAGTACTGATCCATAAATACGATCCTATTATGACACCTTTTGAGTTTTTCCCATGCAAAATTCTGTTCCAAAAGCTTCAACAAATGATAAATTCAACCGTGAAATAGCAAAATGGGTAAAAATGATTTTCGCTCACCATATATAAGTCCAACAGAACAGTCAATATAAGCTTATTAAAACAGAATGTGAGCTTACAGTGATTCGCTCACCATATATCAGTCCAACAGAACAGTCAATATGAACTTATTAAAACAGAATGTGAGCTTACAGGGTGCCGAAAACCACAAGTTGGATTAATACAGTTCCCGGCCAACCAGTACCAGCAGTCCCTAGGGTTGAGCCTGGCAATTTCACTATGTCGATACTCACAATCAATTCCCTGAAACCAAGAGGATTAAAAAAAAATGAGGCCATTCTAGAAACAATGAAACTACAAACCCCGAAGGATTGACAAAGCATAAAACGAGTACAGAAAACAAAAACAGGTATACGCCAAAAAGCTAACGATGTATATTCGTTTCATCAATGTTTATGACTTTAGCATTTCAGAACCAGCCAAGCAAAAGGCAAAACGAGTAGAGTTTGAAAACAAAAACACTAACATTTTAAAAATAATTAAAACTTAATTAAAACTTAATATTATAATTTCTTCGAGAAAACATTATTCATGGTTATACATTTTAATATATATACTTTTTTGCTTTTCAAAAAAAAAACATTTTATAGACAATTATACATAAGATCATTTTAGTTTTTATACGTTTTATCTTACCTTTCAACAACTTTTTAAGAAGGAAACTGTTAATACTAATAAGAAACGAAAACGTCAAAACAGAGTCCTATAAGACTAGAATTCCCAATTAGTGAGTAATGGAAAAGAAAATTAGAAGAAAAAAAAGACACAAATTTCATAAAAATAAACCAAGAAAGAGGCGTAACAATTTCCAAGCAATGAAAGCTAAATTCATAAAAAAGAGGAGAAAATTAAGATCGTTTGGTTAAGAAATAAACCCTAGAATCTCCAGATCCTTAAAATGCAGGACCACAAATATATCACGTTCCCCCAAAAAAGAAGAGAGAAGAACCGAATGCGAAATGTGCGGTGAAAATTGGATAGAGTGAAAGACAAAGACCTCACTACCAGAGAACAAAACATCACAATTAAAAAAACAAAGAGAAAGAGAAAGAGAGAGCGATTTGGGCTGAAAAGGAGAACCTTCTTGCAAGTAAGAGGAGAGGCTAAGAAATAAACGCAATCGGTGCTACGTTTCAGAAATTCCTCCTCCATTATATTTATGCTTTGCATGAGAATGTGCGAGGGAAAACCCTCTCTCCTTATAAATTTTGTTTATCAAAGAGATCAAAAGAGAAAGAGAAGAGCTCAAAGGGTAGTGGCTAGGTTTCGGTAAAATGGGTTACATGGCGGAAACTGGAAAAGAGAGCGTAATCAGAGAGCGCGAGCGAGCAATGATGGCATTGTTTGGGTTTTAATGCAATTTCAAGGTGTGTGTTTGTTTTGAGAGGATGGTACACGTGTCCTTTTCATCAGCTGTTATCTTATTTTATATTATTTTTTGTTTTTTTTTTAGAGAAAGAGAAAAACAATGAAAACCTGTCTCAAAAACCTCAATCATAATCTTTAGTGTCATTTTAATTTGTATTAAACTGCTTTAACT